CACATTCAATATTAAATATTCAAAAAGATAAAAGTATAGTATTTATTATACCTGAAAGCTTTTAATTTTAATAACATTTAATGAAAAATGCATTTAAATTATGTTCGAAAGTTAAAACTATTTATGTTTTTTTTTTTCTTTTAATTAATACTCAAAACCCTAACACTTATTAATGGCAAATCTAAGGCTGCTACATAAAAATGTGTAATATATTAAAGTGTACTTAATCACACGCTTTTTATTGTATATTCATGAATACGTTTTATTTTTTGACTCCCAAAGTATTGGTTTTGGTCCATAATTGGACTAGTAGTTTTCTGTTTATTTTGAACTAGTATGAGACTGATATATTTCTGACCGAAATCTGACAATTGCCATCTCGTAGGACATCCCCATGTTAAAAATACCAGTTGATTGCATGGGAAAAAGATAGTTGGCTGACCAGTTGGGCATGCGGCTCATACTAGTTGTGAGGTAGTTTACCACTAGTACATTTGACTACATGGTATATGTACATATGTATCTGTTAAATATATGTATTTACCCTGCAAACCATTTTTTCAGAGTATTCTGCATTGTAAAGAAATTTTACAGAATTCGTTAAGATTTAATTCGATTTTTTGCCGAATTTTCTAAAATGAAATAAATTACGCACACTTCCATTCTTTTACGAAATTTCGGAAGAAAATCTGTGAAGCAACGAAAATAATGGTGCTATGTGAAGAATATCTTTCAGAATTTTTCCAGAATTTTCTTCATTTTTCGTACAGAAATTTCTTTACGAGTTCGTGTCAACCACTTCATATAATTTTCTTTGAAAATTCGTAAAAAAATCGTTACAGAAATGAGATACTCCTAACGATTTCCTTAAGATTTCGGGAACTTTGGTTTGCAGGGTATATGTTTTTATTGAAGAACGATAAGTTAAAAATTTGATTTCACTTATCGTAATTTCCGACTGGGTTGCTCATGCGGAGCAGTTCTCTTGTTCTCACCAACACAGTCACAGTTTAAATTTGCCGACCACTGGTTTAAGGGCTCACTGAAGTCTGCAGAGTCTGTTCACCAGTAGGTGCAGCTGCAAACGGGTGACTGCTTGGAGCAAGCGGCTCGCTATATAAACGTGCATTGATAGCGAGACCACCCCCGTCCCAGCAATGGGTTGTGCGCTGGGTTTGGTACCCGCCACATAAAAGCCACTTCCAGTGAAGAAGCAAGGTAAAGCCTCGCGCCAACTACCGCGGCATCACCCTTCTAAGCATAGGTTACAAGGTATTGTCGAGCGTATTGTATGAAAGACTAAAGTCCACCGTCAAGGAACTGATTGGGCCTTTAGACCTGGCAAATTCACCATAGAGCAAGTATTCAGAATACGCCAAATCTTGGAAAAGACCCGCGAGAAAAGGATTGACACTCACCACGTATATGTCGACTTCAAAGCCGCTTTCGACAGCACTAAAAGGAGTTGCCTATACGCCGCTATGTCTGAATTTGGCATCCCCTCAAAACTCATACGGCTGTGTAAAATGACTTTGAGCAACACCACCAGCTCCGTCAGAATTGGAAAAGACCTCTCCGAGCCGTTCGCCACAAAACGGGGTTTCAGACAGGGCGACTCCCTTTCATGTGACTTCTTTAATCTGATGTTGGAGAAGATAATAAGAGCTGCAGAACTGAACCGCTCAGGAACAATTTATTACAAGAGCGTGCAATTGCTGGCTTATGCCGATGACATCGACATCAGCGGTAACAAAAACGCGAAGTCTGTTCTGCCTTTTCCAAGTTGGATAGGGAAGCAAAGCTAATGGGTCTGGTGGTAAACGAGGACAAGACAAAGTATCTCCTGTCATCAAACAAACAGTCAGCACATTCACGCCTTGGCACTCATGTCACTGTTGACAGTTACAATTTCGAGAAAGTAGTAGAATTTCGTTTACTTGGGAACCAGCATTAACACCGATAATAATGTCAGCACGATATTCCAAAGGAGAATCACTCTTGCAAGCACTCTTGTAGGCAATTCAGGAGTAAAGTCCTCTCTCGACGTACGAAACCACACTTTATAAGTCACTCATCATGCCCGTGCTGGTATATGGCGCCGAAGCATGGGCATTGACAACATCCGATGAGGCAGCTCTTGGAGTATTCGAGAGAAAGAGTTTGCGGAAGATTCACGGGTTTTTAAGTGTTGACGTGTACTGAAGACGATGGAACGATGAGCTTTACAGCGAATTAAAATACAGCGGCTCCGCTGGCTGGGCCATGTCGTTCGAATGGCCTCCGACGCTCCAGCTCTGAAAGTATTCAAGTCGGAACCCGCTGGTGGTAGCAAAGGAAGAGGGAGGCTCCAACTGCGTTGGAAAGACCAAGTGGAGAAGGACTTGGATTCACTTGGCATTTCTAATTGGCATCAGTTGGCACAGAAGGGAAACGTCGAACTCGGCCAAAATCGCTTAGGCGGTTACAGCGCCAAATAAGAAGATGTGCAATTGCTGGCTTATGCCGATGACATTGTTGTTATTATCGTAGCGGCTACTACATCGACATCGTCGGTAACAAAAACCGCTAAGTATTTTTTCTGTTATAGGATTAGTTAAGACTGTTATATGGTTAGATTTAGCTTGCCTCCAGACTGTATCTTTATTTTATTTACGCCTATTTATAGCTTAAAACTAATAAGTAAGTCATAGCCAGTCACATGACTGCTGACTGAGTAGTGTGTGTGGACAAGGGTAATCTGAGTGCACTTGACAACATTTCACAAGCGCTGTGTGTGGCCATTAAGTTTGTCAGAATGTGTTGAATATCGGCGCCGAAAGTATATTGAACTGCTAATGAATTTGGGTCAAATGAGCAATACGATATGGTATTTAGTTGAAGTTTATTTCAGTAACTATTTTGTAAGAATGACGTCCGCAATATTGCTCATCATCACGATTCTGGCGGAAGGCCGTCAATATGTCTCGTGCGGAGTAAACAAGCGCTGCCATTAAAGTGGCGTGTTTATAATAATAAATTTATAGAAAATATCCAAAATATATACAAAAATATGCAAAATATATACAAAAATATGCAAACGTGCAAAAAATATTTGTTTATTTGTTTATTTGCAAAAATATGCAAAATATATGAAAATATGCAAAACATAATAGGACCAACTTAACTCACTTCCTCATATAATGAGTTTCTACCCAGGTCCTTAAGCTCAATAAAATGTAATGAATATAATTATTATAAACCATAAATAATAAAAAGCTAATAAAGAGGAAAAAATATTCGCCCAGGACACCTCTAGTCAGTGTTGCCAGGTCTTCGGCATGAGAAAACGTCCCTCCTGGTCTGAAAAAACCTCATTTCCGCCCAAAAACGTCTTATTCAAACGAATGTCCAAAAAAATTGTCATTTTGACAGAGGACATTTAAAATTCTTTGTAAACTGGTTTGAGATCGTTAATATAAAAATCATCAGCTGATTAAGTCATCATCAGTTTGATCGATTTTGGCTGTTTCTCTTTTGTTTATTTAATGTTTATTATTTTTCCATAAAAGCCAAGCTTATTATATAACAAACAAAATATAAATCCACATTTCAAACTTTGTGCAAAAATTATAAAAAATCTGCAAAGCTTCAGCTAGATTTTCAACTTTTTATTTCGATTTTTAAGATTTTTTTTTGAGTATGCAGTTTGATAGCCCATTAAATTTCAGTCCAATAATGTGCAAGTTTAAAGGTGCTAAATAATCGCGTTGATTTTTAATATTTTTTTTGTTCTTGTAGACATTCGGTAAGGAGGTCGGTTGTCGAAAATGCTAACTTAGGGTTTACGCCGGACAATGCTGTCATGACAATGAAGATATACGTATTAGTTGTCAAAATTATTCTAATGGAAAAGAATGCATGTATTAGTGAAAAAGTGTGCATGTATTGCTATTGTCATTACGGTATTGTCCGGTGTAAACCCTAAGTAAATTACGTTCTGCTAAGAAGGAGCATAGCAATATTTCAGCCTTGTTTGTGTTCATCACATTTTCAATGACGTCTCAAAAAAGTCGCCTACTTTTTTCTGACCCTTTATGCTGCTTCAGCTTTTTTGATGCTTTTGCGAGCGTGCGTGTTGCAAGAGATCAGCTCTTCCTGATTTGGCTTTTAATGTGCAATTGCAAACATAACAATAGGCCTCGTAACCTCAAGTGTTTACACAACCAGCCTTTGAACACGAGGTCCTTAGTCCAAGAATCAAAAAAAAAAACATGCGCGTACGCTTGGTATGCATCATATTTAAGTCATCTGTGTCCAAAATATAAATATCTTTTGAAGCAGCTGCTGCAAAACACAAAGCTTGTAAAGATTTATTAAGAAAATAATTAAAAATCAGTTCCACTTAGTACGAGATTCAGTCACAGAGAAAAATTACTGGGAAGTTAAAAAACGTCACTTTTTACACAAAAAACGTCCAAACGTCAACAGGATACAAAAAACGTCCAAATGACGTTAAAAACGTCAACCTGGCAACGCTGCCTCTAGTGTATAATAATAATAATAATAGATTGGCGCTTACACATATGTTAGTGTTTGGCCGAGCTTCTCCTCCGACTTGTGGCGTGCGCCTTGGTATTGTCACACAAAGCGGAAGGACCTACAGTTTTATGCCGACTCCGAACGGCGATTGTATTTTTATGAGAAGCTGTTTTTCATGGCAGAAATACACTCGGAGGTTTGCCATTACCTGCCGAGGGACGACCACTATTAAGAAAAAACCTTTTTCTATATTTTTTGCGATGTTGCTTTGACCAGGGCTTGAACCTAGGTGCTGATGAGTGAAAGCGCGCACTGCTTACCACAACACCACAGCGGCCGACCTCTAGTGTATACTTCAAACAATATCAAACAAAATAAAAATGATATAAAATTCACTGTGAATATTCTCACAGAAGCAATCTCTCCTTCCGTGTATTTAAGTTAAGCGACTTAGATATTTGGGAATTATTGATTAAACTTACATATTTAGCAAAGAATCCCCGGTTATCTCGTATTTCTCCGCGCTCTCGAGCTTCTCTTTCCATTTCCATTTTCTGAATAAAACTCGTTGTATCTGGGATTGGAGCCATTTCGATATGTCTAATTAGTACATCCGTGTTAAACTCCTCTAAGGCAAATGTTGACAGTTCTTTACCTAAACTGAAAGATATAGAAACAACATAGTTTAATAAATTTAGTTTACAATACGAAATTAATGAAAAGTATCCCTATATTAATATATGTAGTGTATAATGAATTATTCCACTCAAGAGTTTTAGATACTATCCAATTCCTATATGTATAAAAACGTTAAGCATGTTTTTATTTTTGGATTATCCACTACTTATTGCAATCTGCAGTTTTTTAGTCGGAAAAATTCATTAAAGAATTGACTAACTAAAAATCTGTATATAAAAATTAAGCTAATTTGACGGCGGGATTTATTTAACAATTTCTAGCGTATCTGATAAACAAGAAGACAAATTTTCTGGGATATCATTTCATAAAAAGTGGGAAGGAAAATTTGGGCCCAGTAGCTACTCTAATTCTTTTTCACGAAGCCAAATTCAATAAAATGTGGCCAAATTTGATAAGAATGATTTTTTTAATACGGTTCAGTTCAGATTTGTTGTGTGATGTATATTTTTTTCGATATGCTTCTACAAATTGAAGCACCAATTGCTTTTGCTCCTAATTTTTCGTCAAGATTCGATTGTAATCTTCGGTAGCGGCTATATAATCTTCATTCTTCCCCCATTCGGATGGATCAGTCCGTAAGAAGTCGAAGATTTTTTTTAGTTTTGTGGCACACGAAATCTCGAATAGGTTTGCGAATCAAGAGAACGAGATTTAAAACTCTATCTTCACTGAATTTTACGTTTGGCTCGATTAATTGCAGTGCCTTCACTATTTGTCGTTTTTCCTCCACTAGGAGATTATTTCCAAAAAAAAACGCTAAAGCAGTTGTTGTTGTTGTTGACCACATTTTATTGAATTTGCCTTCGTGTACAAGAGTAGCTACTAGGCACAAATCTTCCCTCCCACTTTTTGTGAAATGATATCCCTCAAAATTTCTCTTCTTCTTGTTTGTCAGATACACTAAAAACAGTCAAACAAAACCCGTCGTCAAATTTGGTTACTTTTTTCTATTAAAATAATTACACAGTAACTTACAAGTAATTTAATTTCTGAGAATTTCTCTCATATGAAAGGATACAAAAGGACAAAAACGCCAACCAACGCCAAAATAGCTTTTATTTTGGTGGAAAATATTTACAAGTTTACAAGGATACAAAAGGACAAAAACGCCAACCATGGAAAAAGCTTGAAGTTTTATGCAACTTTAGTAAAATGGCTTTTATTTTGGTGGAAAATATTTACAAGTATAAATTTATCTTGCAGAAACTTCCTAACTTTATCTATAAACCAAATTTTATTTTGCTATCTCAATTTATCTTCTTTTATCAACTTTTTTGCCGGCCAAGGCTTGACAATTCGTAACAGTTGTTACAAAATATTACAGACTATTGCTTAATAAAACAAAACCATTATCAGCTGTTTTTCTAATTGCGATGTGCATAATCATGCCATTGAAAATGATATGTTAATTGATTTTGCGATCTAATCTGCTGTACAGTATCGATACGTTGCTTGAATCCAATATCATTTGCTAAATTTGCCATAACTTTTCTATTTTCAAATCGATATGCAAAAGATTTGGATCTATATACTTTGAAATCAAATAAGCTTTATTCTGCCTCGATGGCACCTTTGGTTAGAACATTGAAAAAGTTTAACCAGATTTCAAGTTCCTTGGCTTTTGATTTTTCGCTATCTAAATATAATTTCAAATTATCGCTCAATAAATTTTTTAAATAACTACTTATTATGTATGTACATATAATTGTTGCAAATATAGTTAGTTCTATGTAGTCTGTAAGAAATTTTTTATTTCTAGATTATAGATATATAAATAAGAACAAACCGTTTGCAGCTTTTAGATGTAATTCACAGTAGAATATCGATGCGACTTTAACCTATTCTACTTTTTATTTGTGACTTCATATTCAGATTCTGTGAGTTATTTTACATAGCAAATGACTATAAAATTCATGATTTTCCACTATTTTGTTAAACACTTTTTTCCCTGAATGGAAATGGTTTTCAAATGCAACGCGTAAGTAATTAGTTATCATATTCGAATAAAATTTTGCACAGATTATTTTTAGAACAAAATACATCTTTTTCCGCCCGGCAAACTGTATATTTAAAAATAAGTTGAAATAACAAACGGTCTACTACGTAAGCTCTATTACACTTCTTAAATAGAGGTTAATTTTGAATTAAAACAAATTTTTTTCTCATTTGTGATAAAAAAACAACAAAATTTCGGAAAAATTAACCATTTTAATTTTAATAGGGCTAACACTGAGTTTTCACTAGGCTTTAAATGAAAAAGTTTTAATCACTATGTTGGGCATTAAACACAACCCGTGCCGTTGTTTGTTTCCACATGGCATTTTTAAAATGGCATACATTTTTCGCCATTCCGTTTCCAGGCGGAAATGCGGTTTAAGAATTTATGAAGCTTCTGTTGAATGATCTTTGTCTGTCTTTGTATAGAAAAACCTTATCCCACACTTTTTTTCAAATAACTTTTGTTATTGAAGCCGTTAGGAACAATATAAATATGTATGTACTCTTACGATTATCCTTGAAACCTTTGGGGGATTTCCCAAAATCCTCCGGCTCGTATCGCTGGATTGTTAAAAAAATGCTAACGATGACCAAATTGTAGCACAATTAACTTTATTGTACAACAAATAATTTACAATAGTCGCTAATGCAGTAAAAACACTTTACAATATTTGTTAAAGCAATACAACGCTTTACTAAACTTGTTAACACAATTAAATTTATAGCTTGCTTATTCGCAACTCACTTCTCTACTCACTTTACTTGTAGCTTGCTGACTTGTAACCAGTGTTGCCGTTTTGGTTACTTTTAACCAATTTTGGTTATTTTTTTCTTGCCTGTGAAGTTGTTAAGACCCTTCCCAGTTTGTTTATTTTTAAACATTTACTGTAGTTTTAAATTTTTTTATACATACAATTGTAACGTAGCAATTCACTACGAAACAATAGTACACAGCACGTTGGAGTACATACGCACCCCACCGTACACACATATCCCACTATACATACATTCAGACACCACTGTACACACATAACAACGCATATACATACCTTCCGATACATATCGACAACGTACAAACGAAGCATACACACTCCACTGCACATATATATACCACCGTACACACATATCCCACTATACATACATACAGACACCACTGTACACACATATGTACTCTTCGGCACACTCATACAGCATCAGGCAAAACACTGCTAGCAGCATACCAACCACTTCGTTCGCCAGCTACCATCGGGACAGCGTACACGACGAATTCTCAAACGAAATACACAGCAACGGGTATAAAAAGCTGAACAAGTGCGCAGTCGAGTCAGTCTCGCTAGGTAAGCGTTGGGCTTGACTAGTCGGTTGGCGCCTAGTGGTGTGTCCTCGGACGCACTAAATCGTCTCTGACTAGTCAACCCAAACATTGCTTGACCAGCCGGTTGGCGCCTAGTGGTGTGCCTTCGGACGCACTAAATCGTCTCCGGCTGGTTAATCCAAGCACGGCTCGACCAATCGGTTGGCGCCTAGTGGTGTGTTTTCGGACGCACTAAATC